CTTGTTCTGCTGCCACTACATGGCCAAATAGTAATATTGCTTCTTTTAGTTGGGTCCATTACTATCTTGAGCCCCTTCCTTGAAGATGTAAGATCAAACAGTGTGATTGAATGTGCTTATAAGGTGTATAATCCTGTACGGACTTAATTACCTCAGCACACAGTGAACCTGGGGCTGGACAAGGGCTTAAAGAGCCCCAGCAGCTCGCTGGTTTGATTTTCAGTTGGCATCAAACATGAATTGATTTTGAGGAGATTCATCTTTTTCAGCTCCATTTTACAGTGAATTGAAAAAAAGCATTAATCCAGCAGAGTGGAAGACATTTTACTCTTGCTGTTTTTTTTTTTTTAATCAGATGATGCTGAATCCATTATTGATTTGTAGCAGCAAGTGTAACATTAAGGACACAAGCAACAATTGTCTCGTGGTCAGTCATGTATAAGGGGTTAGGTCAAATAGTTCTTTCTTTGTCTGTTACATCACTGCAGTACGACAAGACACTGACTTTTAAAACCAGCAGGTACTTTTGAATTTTTAATCCATCCATTCAAAGGCCACCTTCCCATCTGTGCGTCTTCACAGCACCTCAATAAATTCTACATTGTTTGAAAGCTCTGTCGATGCTATCTGACTCTTTGGTTTAGATTTGTGAACTTCAGATTTGTGGCTTCGAAGTACAAAAAGTGCTACAGGCACTTTTTTAATGGGACAAAAAAACAAAACTACTCACATTTCCACTACATCTGTGCCTCTGTAATTTACTAAATCTAATATTAATGTGGTGTACAACTTTACGTTTCCTCACAAAGGAGACAGACCTGGATTATGTGAACGAAAAGGCTGACACACAGTAGAAACTTTATTCTATGTACATCGTTTCAGGCTTGTGCTCAAAAATGGGGGCATCAGATACTGTGATGTTTGAAATGTAGCTGTGGACAACATGCAAACCAACCAGCGTGGCCTAACTTAATGTTATCCATCTTTGGATCGCAACAATTGTTACTTTGCCTCAGGACATTGTACTGGTTCCACTGAAAAACACATCCGAGCATAATTAGTACACTGTGATTGCGTTTGTTTGACTCTATGTAATATTTCATAATATCTAATCAAATCAAAACCCAGACAACCAGGTGATCCAATGACAGAACATCAGTTTTATATAGCTAGCGTCATGTTGGGTTGATAAATGACATGTGCTAGGTCACAACAGAATCTTCTTCTACTTGAGTTTATTTACCTACAGTACTTATAAATGAGCTGGCTCCTCACAGAAAAATACCTTTTACTTACAGGGGAGTGTGAATATCATAAAAGCTCTATACAAGCAAGCAATAAATAAAAGGCAATAAAGGTTGAAGACACTGGGACCTTTTCAGGATTCTAATTGTTGATAGAAATTTTGGTGCAATACAAAAAAGCCCAAGACAACATTCTTTCTATTCTTAAGACTGCACCTACTTATATCAACACAAAACTGTGGAATCCAATTAAAAATACATTTTCCATTTCAGGATGAAAACTATTGGCAATCTACACCAAATAACAACATTGCTCACTGAACAGTTTTTTTTTACCTCAAAGTGACAGTAAGCTCACATGCCTCATAAAATCTGTCAATGTTAGCTTACATAAAGCTGTTATCAAAGTTTCAAATGGATAAGACTTAACATT